AGCTACTTACATGTCTTATGATCATCTTTCCACCTCTTACCAAGCATATCTGAGTGACATGTCTGCAGACACTGAACCCAGTACTTATGAAGTGGCTGTGAAAGATCAGAGATGGGTAGAAGCAATGAAACAAGAAATTGCAGCACTAGAAAGTAATGGTACTTGGAAGGTTATGAGTTTGCCTCTAGGAAAGAGAGCAATAGGGTGTAAATGGGTGTTCAAAATCAAGTATAAGGCTAATGGACAGGTAGATAGGTTCAAAGCTAGGCTTGTGGCTAAAGGGTACAGTCAGACTGAGGGAATTGATTATCAAGAGACATTTTCACTAGTTGTGAAAATGGTCACAGTAAGATCTATCATTGCCATTGCAGCTGCTGAAAATTGGCAAATATTTCAGATGGATGTTTTCAATGCCTTCTTGCAAGGAGATTTATTTGAAGAAGTTTATATGGAGTTGCCTAAAGGTTTCACAAGTCAGGGGGAACATAAGGTTTGTAGACTTATGAAATCTTTATATGGTCTTAAACAAGCATCAAGGCAGTGGAATGCAAAACTTACTGATGCTATGGTGGCATCAGGATATATACAAAGTCATTTGGACTACGCTTTATTCACAAAGAGGAAGGGATCAGCACTAGTAATAGTATTAGTGTATGTAGATGACTTGTTGATTACAGGAAATGATTTTACATTGATACAAGAGACCAAACAGGTCTTGCATCATCATTTTAAAATAAAAGATTTGGGGGAGTTGAGGTATTTTCTGGGAATTGAATTCTGTAGATCAGACCAAGGAATCATTATGAACCAGAGGAAATATGCATTGGAGTTGATATCAGACGTTGGAATGTCAGGATGTAAGCCATCATCAACTCCTTTGGAGTGTAACATGAAGATGATAAGTGCTGATTTTAGGCAGGATGTAATAGCTGAGTTATTTACTGATGTGAATAGATATCAAAGACTAATTGGGAAGTTGTTATATCTTACAAATACAAGGCCTGACATTGCTTTCTCTGTTCAGTGTTTAAGTCAATTTATGAAAAAACCAACAGTATCTCATTGGAATGTAGCATTAAAAGTAGTCAGGTACATTAAAGCAGCACCAGGTTTGGGCATACTCATGAGTTCTGATAAACAAGCTCAGCTCACTGGATTCTGTGATGCAGATTGGGCTGCATGTCTTAATAGCAGAAGGTCAGTGACTGGTTATATACTGAAGTATGGCAAATCTTTAATAGCATGGAAGTCCAAAAAGCAGCATACAGTATCCAGAAGTTCTGCAGAAGCAGAATATAGAAGTCTGGCTGCATTAACAGCTGAGATAGTTTGGGTAACAAATTTGTTCAAGGAATTAAAGATGGATGTGCATGAACCAACTATAATACATTGTGACAGCAAAGCAGCTATGCAAATAGCGGCAAATCCTGTATTTCATGAGAGGACGAAGCATATAGAGATTGATTGTCATTTTATACGAGAAAGGATGCAGCAAGGATTAATAAAGACAAGTTATATCAACACCAAGGAGCAGCAGGCTGATCTGTTGACGAAGGCATTAGGGAGATCTCAACATGATTTTTTGTTGGCCAAGCTAGGAGTATTGAATGTTTTCAATACATCCAGCTTGAGGGGGAATATTGAAGATAGCATAGAAGAAGTTTATTAAGTAATTAGTTAAATGTGATAATAATATAATTAGTTAGTTTGTTAATATTGTTAGGAAGGTAGTTAGGAGATATTTGAAGGCAGTTACTGCCATGTGTATAAGTAGAGGTCTAATCCTCATTGTATGAATAATATCTTGAATAATCAACATAAAGAAGATCCCCAAATCCCTCTGAATTTCATCAGTAATACTTTGACTTTTCTTTAAAAAAAAAAAAACTTCAAACAAAGAAAGAAAATCAGGGCAAAACCCTAACAAAGACATGAGAATTGTGTAGGCCGTAAGAATTTCCAACGGTGTATTGAACAACTTTAAAGAGAGGGTGTGAGGCTGAAGAGGGGAAGACGTCGTTTCTGTTCATTTTGAACAAATTCAAAGAGTGGGCCTGAGGCTGAAGATGGTAAGATGTCATTTCTGTTCATTTGAACAAATTCAAAGAGTGGCCTTGAAGCTGTTTTGAGTTTCGGATACGGATGGAATGAGTAAATTTAGATTGAGTTAAAAAGGGATTCCTCGCTTGTTGTCGCGCCACGTCACAAGGTTGAGGATCCTCTTTAAATATATACTAGACAACTTACTTGCGCTTCACGCGGTAAACCATGACCTTATTAAGATTATGAATGATCATTTTTCTAATATCTGAATATTAGAAATTCGGGTATTGTCACATATATTAATAACTTAAAAGATTGTAAAATTCTTACTTTATTATGAATTTTATCTTCTACGTATTTTCAATTATAATAGTTACTCTTTGATATAATTGGCTTCTCAATATTGAATGATTTTTCATAGATTAGTTAATTATCATTTTCTCTACTGTTATGTATATGTGCATTCAAAGTATAAGATACTCAATTTGGTGACTTATTATCCATTCTTTAGCCAATAGCAGATAGTTTTCCCTGCTCTTCAATATCATTGTCCATAAACACCCCGAATATGTCATATTAAATTTATCATGTGAAAGATATTAGCCCCTCATATTCTCAAATATGTGTTCCTTGATTATTCTAGAGCTAGTAAATCATAAAAAGACGGGACAATTATGCTAAAATAAAAAACATTTAGCCTATATTAGGTACTATAGCTATAGTTTAAGAAAATTATAATTCGCGGGTACAATTTTCTCAATTCTTGTTATTCACTAATTCGCCTATTTTATATAATTCGTCTGATTTGTATAAATTCAGAACTTGTATAATTTGGTTCCTGATTGTACAAATCCAGAATCTCGTATATACTTACCCTAGCTATTTGTATACAATTTATGAAAAAATCATAATAAATTACCATGTTTTTATATTGGCAAGCGAAATATACAAACAGAGTTCTGAAAAATTTCTAAATGTATAAATACAAAATTTGTATATACTTACCTTATTTGTATATTCATAAGCGAAATATATAAACAAACAAAATTATACAAACCGCAGCCTCCATAACAAACATGACTATATTATGGAGCGCAATTATCGAAACTATAGTTATGAAACACAATTATGACTACTATGTTTGCTATTTCTAAAATTTTGTCTAAAAGGATCTCTTTAAGTTTTCAAAAACTTTTTAAATCATATTTATAGAACTGATTTTTTTTGAAATACATTATTTTTTACAAAAAAAAAAAGAACAACTAAAGAATTTTGAACAAACAAAATCACATGTTTATTATTCTGGAGGGCATCAGCTGGGCAAAAGTATAGGTATAAAAACAATAGGAGAGTCAAGAAAGGTTACAAGTAGCAGTAGTTATAATAGTTGAGACTCTCTAATTTTTTCATGTATTAACCATTAACAAAGAATAAAAAAAGTAGCAACTGAAACATTTAATTTTTTCTGAATAAAGAATGTGAAAGATTAAAAAGCAATATGTGAAAAATACGTGATATATATATATATATATATATAGGTTGTATACAAATAGAGGGATTCTCTCACATCATTAAACCACAAAGTTTCTAAGTTTTTTGTTCTTATTCTTTTTAACACTCAATTTAGTACGTATTCTATATTTCATGCTATATTTTTTTAAGCAACTTTATGGACCATTGGTCCGATTTATTGGTTTTCCCAAAGAAGCTAGATAAAGACTAATAACAAAAGCCTTAGGCCAAATCCTAAAAAATATTTCATACTATATTTATTTATATTATAAAATATATTAAAAGCAGACACCTTTTCACATTGAAAGATTGTAACTTTTTCCGATGAGTTGTGACTTTTTTGAAGGATTGTGTTTATTCCATATCGGTCAATCAAAAATGTTTAAAAAGTTTACATAGCCAAAAACACAAAAGTAATTCAATACAAATTAAATTCGTAAAAGATAAAACTTTAAAGAATATTGAATAAAACACTGACGTAAGTTGTCGGACAAAGTGATGACATAAGGAAAAAATCCACAAAAAGAAGTAGCTACGAATAAAGAAATTGTCATGGTTGTGATTAGTTGTTTAAGAATTGAGCAGTTGAAATGGTTTTTCTTTTGACATGTTGAATGGAGGTAAAAACTATAAAGAAATTATAGTTTTGTTTCTTTATTTTTTGGGTGAAGATCCAAAGTAGACTTCCGAAGAATTGACGAACTTCACAGAAATTAGGGATGAAATTTGTCACGAAGAAGAAGGCTATTGCTAGATTTTATCTCAAATCGAGCTGCAGTTCCTCTTTCCTTTCAAACCTAGCTAGGGAATTGGATTTCGCTCTATCAATTCTGTCATCTTATCTACGATAGCAGCAAACTCCACTTCTGAAATAAGAGAAAAGATCATATCGGCAACAACAAGTAAAGTCTGAAATGCCTCAGAAGCAAGTCTCGATTTAGCTGCATTATCTTCCTACCGATGTCATACTAGACTCAACGAGTATGATTTGCATAGTTTTTATAGGTAGTTCCTAAAGAGGCGCAACCGAAGGATTATAACAGACTGAAGGGACACAATAGTTGAAGAAATGAGTTTAAAGGTACAAATAATAAAATAGGGGTAAAAGACCTAAAAGTACGAAGAAAAACATAAAAGTAAATTCCTGAATTCTAAGGGTGTCACGTAGACATGCCTATGATTCTCTTATAAGATAAGATAAATATTAAATTGAAATATTAAGATTTAAAACACATAAATATTTAAACACTGATCATCAAATATTATTCTCTCCAGTAAAAATAATTGTTTTTGCAGAATTTCAACTTGAAATTATATTCTTTTATCGAAAAATATATCTTTCGAAATTCAACTTCAAAAAAAAAAAAAAAAAAAAAAAAATGTCCATGATCGAACAATCACTTATAATTTTATTTCTTTTAAGGACTGAAGTGAAATTTATCCAATCACAGGAGGAAGAAACGTCAAACCTTCATTCTCAAGGGTGCGATTAGAACCAACAAAAAGTTCCCTGGTGAAGACAACACAGCTGACCGGGAAGATTTTGCAGAAACGCCTGTAGAGAAGAGCTAAACAATCTCTAAAGGCTCTTCAAGAACAAGCAACTTTCATATTCAGTTACTGAAGAATTATCTTCTTGTTGTTGTGATCAGATCAACTCCTTTTTCGCTCTGTGTGTTTGTGTTCTTGAGTTTGTGCTTTACGTGAATCTAAATCTATCCCAGTTGTATCAGCACTGGAAATGTCGAAATCATCATCTTCAAAGTTTGTTTTGAGTAACTTTTATCACTACATTTTATCAAAACCCCATCAATTTTCAAGCCCAAATGTTACTTCTAGTGGTATATCTCATTTCCTTTCTAATCATTCCAAGATTATCGAAAAGCCTGCTGTTAATCAATGGGTTTCGAATACCCAGAGAACCCATTTTTCGTCTTCCCCATTTCCGCGGGTTTTGCAAAACCCTAGTAAGAAGTTAGACCCAGATGGTAGTTTCTTGTGGAATAGGAAATTATTAGGGTTTAGGTACTTCTCGTTGAAGAGCTCCGGATTGGGTTTGGGGAAAAATGTGTTGAAGAATCCGGTTGAAGCTGCCAAGAAAACGGCTTTGCGATACAAGGGTGCGGTGGGTTTGCAAATGGAGGCATTTTGGAAGAGGAATTCGATGGTGTTATTTGGTGCAGCAGGTATTATGGTGTGCATTTTGCTTTGGAGGATTCTATTTGGAATTGCTACTACTTTTATTGGATTGTCTGAAGGCATGGCGAAGTATGGCTTCCTTGCTCTTTCCTCTGCCATTGTCGCATTTGCTGTGAGTTCTTCTCAAGTTTCTGTTTGTAGTTGATTGAGTTGAACTCGGTACTTTTATGTTGTTGCATAAGATATATGAGCATGTCTTTCTGGAAATTACATCATTGTTTGAGTTGTATTTGCTGAGCTTTTGAATATGCTAATTGCATCCTTACTGTGACTTAGCTGGTATTAATGTCATAATGTGCCTTGATATTTGGACTATGAACATATAATTGGTTTTTTGAAATTATGATATTTGGACTATGAACTTCAAAGTTGTGAAATAGTTTATCCAAGTTAACATTCAAACTTTTGCACATTATATGGAGCTCAAACTCCTTCATGCTTGGGGGTTGGAACTATATTTAATTTTGGAACTCTTTTAAGGAAGTTTGTAGTGTTTTGAACAGTGTGGTCTATAATTAAAGTCTCCCAGTTTTCTGTCTTCTAGCTATGGTTTGAACTCTTGCTGACGGAGCATGCTCTGTACTTCTTACAATTATAGCTGAGTAACCTTTTGCTCTGTTATATTAGGGCTTGTATCTTCGCTCAAGATTTACCATCAACCCTGATAAGGTGTACAGAATGGCAATGAGAAGACTTAATACAGAGGCTGGAATTCTTGAGGTTATGGGGGCTCCACTCTCGGGAACAGATTTGAGAGCATATGTGATGTCAGGAGGTGGTATTACTCTTAAGAACTTCAAGCCACGGTTTAGGGGCAAAAGATGTTTTCTGATTTTCCCAATACGAGGTTCTGAGAGGAAAGGTTTAGTAAGTGTTGAAGTCAAGAATAAACAAGGCCAGGTTTGATTTCAAATCAGCTACTTCTTTTGTTCTATATGATGAAGCTTAACTGTGTGCCGTTGCAATTTCCTCATTCTATCTGAACATTGTCACGTGTCATGAGGTTCAAAACTGCATCTTCTAATAACTTCCTTTTTACGAACTAATCTTGCCTAAGTAGAAACTATAAAGCTTTTAAAAGGATTGTTTTTATAGCATCATGAACTATAGAGTCTAGAAATAAGCAACAAATACATGACAAGATCAAAGTTGATAAACATTCATGTGATAGTGAGAGGGAGCAAGTTTGGTTCAAGTGCACACGGTGGCAAGATCAAAATTTCGTGCAATATGTAATCTGCTAAAACAGCTCAGCCTATTTAAAAAGGCTTAACTTGGTATCTGAGTTGAGTTTGTTTCTAACTAAGTAATACCTTTGAGGGGTCGTTTGGTGTGATTTGTGAAGGATAACATCAAATAGTCCTGGGATTAAATTATAGTGCCACTTAATTTGTTGTTTGGTTGGCAAGTCCGGGATAACTTACCCCGGGATTAATAATTAGTATTGGGATAAGTTATCCCTCCCTTTGGGTGGTATAGTAATCCCGGGATAAAATACGTAAATGACAAAAATATCCCTTTAAACCCTTGTTATACATCACTTTTCACATTTATGTAGGGTATCTTTGTAAAGAAATAAATTGTTCTTAAAATTTATTAATTTGAATAAAACAAACCAAACACTCGATAAAAAATAATTTTAGCATAACTTATCCCATTATAACTAATCTCATTATAACTTATCCCATCATAACTTCAATTCAAACCAAACGACTCCTAAAAGTTTAAACTGGCATGACAAGTTTGTAGTGGCTTGAACTTGGCCTATGTCATGTTGAGCCTGCAAGCATTGACATTTTTTTTTTTGATGACAAGGAAACCCGCAGCCGCTACCCTTTGGGTGCGCACAGGGTAAAACGTCCGCTCCTATCTAATAACTCGCAAATCACATAGGAGAGGTAACCCGCACTAGGCAAGCCTGGTGCGACGAGCTCGACCCAGAAGGCAAACCCCTTGCTTTCGCTGGGAAGGAGTTTCGAACTTGAGACCTCCAACATGGAAGTCCCAAGCTCAAACCACTGGGCCACCCCGAAGGGTCTCTGGAGTCTTTTGATGTCAGTATTAACTCTCTCAAACCAAAAAAATGATCTCTTGCTTTCCTTAAATGATAACCTTTTTCCATTACTATTCATTGACTTTCAATTATACACTACAAGAAGCTTCTTCTTTTTTTAAACAAAGTAATTGATACGAAAGGAGAAAGAAGAGTAACAGCAGAAAACAATAAAATAACATAAATTTGACTTACATGAAAATCATGAGGAAGAAGCACATGTACATAGTCAAGTGGATCAAGTCCCGAATAAGTTCCAAGTAGAAAGTATATACGGCCTTCCTCTCCAAGAAGTTGTCCTTGTCAAAAAAAAGAAAAAGAATATAAGAAGTTGTTACCTTCTCAAAAAAATAAAATAATAGATTATAGGATGTCAAGTTTGTGATCTAGTATTATCGAGCATTATATTTCCATCTTTCCAGCAAATAAAAAAAAAGGACTGGAAAAAGAAGGTATCACGATGTTCTATTGCCAGAAAGATGGAAACATAATGAAGCTTAACATTCATGTCGTGAGCATAAGTTCGGCTTAATTGGTTTTATAATCAATCTGAGCTGGATTGTTTAGAGTCCTACCTTTCTCACTCTGGACTAACAGAGGCCATAATATAGTTCGCCCAATGATCATCTAGAGTTTAGTGCTTCTAACTCTAAATGACTGACATATACTTTTTTTCACAAGAGATTTTACAGAAGTTGAAGCTTCCAGATTTGGTTGCTACACTATCAGATAAATAAATAAACAATGCAGAATAATATAACTGGTTTCTTGTTCATTCTAGCAAATGCTTATGCTAACATTTATTTTGCTTCTCGGTCTGCAGTATGATATGAAATTATTGGCAGTAGATATACCAATGGCCTCAGGACCTGACCAACGCCTATTCCTGATTGGTGATGAAGAAGAGTACAGGATTGGTGGTGGTCTTATTGCTGAGCTAAGAGATCCTGTTGTTAAAGCAATGGCAGCAACTAAAGAGTTTGAAGATCGGGATGATCTGGAGGATGAAGAGGATGCTGAAAGAGAACTCCAAGAAGCGGAGAGAAAGCACCAGGAAGAAATTGAAAAGCTTGAAAAGGGTGATTCAAGATGATTAAGCTGAATTTTTTTCTTGTATCCTTGGTTTTACATTTGCGCTTTTTACAAAGGCATTGCACTAGATAGAGCAAAAGACCAACAATGCTCTAACTGTTGAGTGAATTAACAGAACTATATGGCATGCACAGGCAGGAAAAATAGATCATACACTCCGAATTTTCTGTAGTGGTTCGTTGTTGGTCAATAAGTATGTTGTTGGAAGTATCAAATCCTTAATGTAATCGGTACATGCTTTATTTTCATCATTCAGCCTTGAGGGCCTCCTGCTGGTTGAAATAAATTACTACTACTTTGCTTGACATCATTGTGGTATTCTCATATACTTTCAAGAAGTTGTTCTTCATTGAGGGAAAAATTATGTGCCAGAAATTGGCTTATAGCCTTCTTTTTCCAGAAATTCCACTATTGAAATATCTCCCGTTTTTACAACTCTCTTATCTCTAATGGAAGTATGGGAAACAAGCGAAGATTTTTGTATTAAAATCATAAGGGATATATACTGCATAAGCAAACAGTTTAAGTTGCAATTTGCATAGATTTTTTATATTTAGAATAGCCAACAAATGTTTGTTTACATGGAATTTCATGAAGCCAAATCTATTTTAACTTTATATTTTTAGCTTTTTCCATAAGATTCATTCTCTTCAGTTTTTCAAATTTATATAACATTGTATAATATACTTTCATACATTGTTTATATAGTTTTCTACATTGGATATACACTATATATAATATATAAATGAAATGAACAAAATAGGCAATGCTCTATATGCAATTTTACATTTTAAAATGAACAATATAGGCAATGCTTAAAACACCCCTCATGTGTACGTGCGTGCATAACACGTTTATGTGTATGGTATGACTTATGAGAGTTGTGTATTTAAGTTTAGTTAGTCATATAACTGAATGTTTTTAAGACTATCAATATTTATAACTTGCTGCATAGAAAATGTTCGTGACAAATCTGAAAAGTAAAGTTGCTATGATAGAACTTATTTTGAGGAGTCTTTTCGGCATTTCCTCCAGCCTAATAAAATTGGGTAAGGGCGACAATTGGCAGGTTGGTTTGGTTTAAATTTAGGTGGGTCAAGACAACAATCTGATCAAGACCCAATCCAATCCAAATTTGCTTGGGTCAAAAAGGGTTAGATCATGGGTTATACAACGGGTCAAGACCCAACCCAATCCAATTGAATACACTATATATAACATATCAAATTGAAAAAAATTTGACAAAATATCTTACGAGTCAATTCAGAGAGGTAAGAAATAAGAAGTTGAGTCAAAGTAGACAGACAGCCGATGAGTTGGTCGCTGTAATTATCCTAAATCATAAGATGGAGCCTGCCATGTGAAGTTTTGACACATAAAAATAAGTAGTAATTTGAATTTTTCATGCATAAAGTTCATCATTGTGCCATGTTTGGTTAGCAGTTAAATTCAGAGCAAGCATCATCGTTATCATTACCTGAAATAGGGACAAAAGTTTCGACAATGAATCACTTCCCCACCTAAAACTACTCAACAAATAAATGGACTCCGATCCATTGAATTCAAATTTTGAACTTTGGGCTAACTTAAATCCTCTATGGACGACTAGTTGTTTTACGATGGAATTATTTAATTAGTCAACTTTAATTTTTACATCAGTCATATTTCATCCGTTCCTTTTTACTTGTCAAATTTTAACTTGACACACTTATTAACCACTATTAATGATAGGATCTTAAACATATTTACTCACTACATTTTTTTCAAAGAAATAAATATAATAAGTTAAATTATTTTTCAAGCAACCAAGTATAACTCAAGTCCTCTTTATGTTTACCTTTATTTATTCTCGATCTCCTTTTGACAGCTTTAAACAAAAAAAAAATTGTACCAACCTAGGAGAGGATGGAATTGGCATTTTACCAATCATTATAAATGAGATGTATTATTTGTAAATAGAAATTAGGACCTTTTACAATTTTTATAAGATTCTTGAAAAATCAAGAATAGTTCCTCCATTTCATATTATTTGTTTATATTATTAAAAAAAATTACGCAAAATCATTTGTCAAGTTTGTTAAACCAAAATATAATAAATTAATTTTTTATCATTCTGTCTTTAAAAACAATTCTTTTTGAAAGTGTAAATAATATTGATCACCTGCATAAAGTTTAAAAAGTTTCTCCATTGTTAATCTTGGTATATTGATGGTGAATTGGTGATGAATAAGACACATAAATATAGCGTATTAAAAAAAATTAAGGATAACTTAATAAAAATACCCTTCTTATTTATGATTTCTTAACAGATGTATATAGAGAAAAGTGGATAAGTAATATGAGACGAAGGAATGACCCGAAAAAAGCACATTAATTATATATAGTTTTGGCGTTATTATTAATTAATCGATTACAACTCTCCTATCTTTGCTTGTTGATGCTTAAAAATTTGGAAATTGATCATTGCTTGCTAAAACACAAAACAATAATTATTACCTCAAGGAAGAAATCCATAGAATATGTTCATTTTTCATCATCACCATATGAAAAAAGGCCTTACAAAAAACAAAGAGAACATAAATAATATCCTATCAAACTTACATGAATTGAATTGATTTGGATAGCAATAAAATTACTGAGTAGAAATGTAGAATCGTAATGCATCTATATTATAGTTTTTTTTATGAAAAAAATTGTATTTTTAGGGATTCGGGAGCATGAGAATTAGTAATTGTATTTTTATGTGATTTTATTTAACAAATAATGACATAGATGAGCCAAACGTTTAACAGATGACATAGATGAGTTTTTTCTCAAAGTTTGATGACATATTTGAGTTTTTTCCCGGATAATAATAATTATAAATCCAGATGAGAGAATGAAAAATCAAGTCCACATAATTCACTATGTCCTTAAGGAAATTATTTTCCTCAAGTATCTGAGGTTATGGAATATATATATATCATCTTAGGATAGAACGATTTACTTCAACAGAATAGTGGCACCTCAAATTTTGTAGAAATTTGTTAGGTATTAATTGCTTTCAGTTTCTTACCATAAATAGGTTTTCCTTTTATAAAAAGGAAAATAGAATATCTCCATATTTGGCTAGTCCTTTTCTTGTAGGAAAAGGTTTAGGGCTCTATAAATAGAGGCGCTTTCCTTCTAACTTAATTAACATTCACAATGTAGTCCTAGGGTTTTGAGAGTTGCGGTAATGGAGGATAATTTTGTGTACCTCCTTGTATTCCAAGTGAATTGGTTGAAGTTGTTTCTCTCTATATTTTGTATTCTCATATTTATAGTGGATTGCTCATCTCCTTTGTGGACGTAGGTCGATTGACCGAACCACGTTAAATCTGTCTCTTTTGGTGTGTTTCTCGTTTGTCTTCTTACTTGTGGTCTTTCGAGGTTTGCTTTGTTAGCTTCCGCATTACACCTGCCTATTTCGGTCCTAACAAGTGGTATCAGAGTCAGGGTTCAATGATGGAACCATGTTAGAGATGGGTGTTCATCTTGGCGGGTGTAGTTCTAGTCGCAACCTTTTTGACAATAATGAAGATCTTTGTTGGAGAAATTGTTTCAAAGAGGTTCTCTGTGTCGAGACGTAGATTTGATGGGGGAGATTATGGAGAAGAGATGCAAGATCCTAAAGATTATGTGAAGAAAGTGGACAAATTTATTTTGTCAGAAATTCAGG